GCAGGGATACCAGGTTCTTTTTAATAATCAGCTCTTGTAGGAACTAATAGAGTGAGAAGTCAGTCACCTCATATAGCATTCATTAATCTATTCATGAAGGATCACTGTCATGACCCAAACACCTCCCATTATGCCCCACTTCTAACATTAGAGACCATGAAATTTGGAAGGAGAAACAAACAATATCCAACCTGTAGCAATTAAATTATTTGTTTTTATGCCGTCGAGTTGTTTGAGTTACTTGTATATTTAAGATATTAATCTCTTATTGGATCAATAGCCTGAAGATAGTTTTCACCCATTCTATAGTTTATCTTTTTCTCTGTTGATTGTTTCCTTTGCTGTATAGAAGCTTTCAGTTTAATATAGTCCCATTTGTCTATTTTGGGGTTTGTTTTCTATGCTTTTGAAGTCTTAGTCATAAAATATTTGCCTAGATCAATGACCTAAAGCACTTACTCTCTGTTTTCTTCTAGGAGTTTTATAGTTTCAGGTCTTAGGTTTAAGTCTTCAATCCATTTTAGTTGATTTTTTCTGTGGTGCAAGATAGCGATCCAGTTTCATTCTTCTGCATATGGATTTCCTCTTGTTTTAGCTTTACTAAGGCATTCAAATTTTTTTTAAGCTGTCACTGACTCAAACACTTTTGCATTGGACTTGCCATTTTTCTCAAAATAGGCAAAATATCAAGAAACACCATTTGCCATTTCTTAAGTAACAGTTATTTCTTCTTAGTTTTGCCTCAGAACTTAAGCTCTTCATTATCAGAGATTTTAACCACTTTATCATCATCCTAAAACAGATTTTTTTCATAACTTTTCTACATTGTGAATGTGTTATTTGGGGCAGAGAAATTTAGTGATTTCAGTTTTAGAACTTCATAATATACATGGGAAAAGATATTTTTTTTTGGCCTGTTCATCATTCTCTACTGTCTTTTATGCCAAATACCTCTGTTGGTATCTTGATCATCTAATCTGTACTAAATAAATCATATTAAAAGGGTCTGCAGTTATAGAAAATACATGTCTAAGCCTTCCAGCTTAATGGTACAGATTTCTTGATAAAATAAACTGACTTTATTATTTCAGGTAAATAGTTAAAACTAGATCACTTTTTTTTTTTTTTTTTGGCTATCAAATCAACTTTTAGTGTTCTAGTTGTTTTTATGTACACAAATTTTTGTATTATAACATGGATAAAATTTTGTTTTATTGTTGGGGATTCATTGAGCATAAAGATACTGTTACACTGATTGCATTTGTTAGGTAAAGTCCCTCCTAAAAACATAGAAGCTATATAACCTTATGCTGAATGATAGCTGGGTCAAAGACGAGATCAAGAAGGAAATTACCAAATTTTTAGAACATAATGATAATGAAGATACGAGTTATCAGAACCTCTGGGATACTGCAAAGGCA